GAGCCGCGGCTCGCAGAGGCTCGGGCACGTTGCATCTCACGTGGTCAGAAAAAAGTGAAAAAAGTGTCATGAAAAGATGTCAAACTTAAAGAAATGCTCGCGGTGGACTTTTTCAAAATAAAAGCCAGTGAGAAACAGACGTTTACAATAAAATAAATAAATAAATAATAAAAACTGCGTTAACAGCGTTAAAATAATTGTCGGTGTTAATGACTTAATTAGTAAACGCAATGTTAACGCATTAACGTCCCCGGCCCTAATATATATATATATATATATATATATATATATATATATATATATATATATATAGATATAGATAGATAGATATAGATATAGATATATGTATATATATATATAGATAGATATATTCAAAGTGACTGACCTTTCAGAGCAGAGAGCAAAGGCACAAAGGCCACAGTCAGGAGGCAGAGGACAGAGAACTTCATGATGTTCACCACAGACACAGACACATTCAACTGAGGTACGAGCTTCTATTTATCCACCTAAAATACAGCCTCAGCACTGAGCTCATATTACGTCATAGTGCCCGCCCTGCATTAAACATGAGCATACCAGGACTTCTTTGGGTGTGGATCAGGCACGACATCATTAGGATTCCAGTTGTGGATGTTCCAGATCAGTTGTGGGTGAGCCTTAAATGAAAAACATCATCAAATCTCTGTTTATCCTAATAAAATGACAGACTAATATACTGTTATATTATTTGTGCATTATAGAGATTTGAATAGTTTCATGCTCATTTAAATATTTTTGTTGCATTGTAAAAACTTTCGGTGCATAGAATGGACTTATCTGCGATCGCTCTCCTTGGTCCTGACCAAAGAAGAGCTCTTATAGTATTATAAGGAATGCCAGAAACAGACATTTTGATCACTATTGGCTGAACTATATCTAAGCACAACACACAGCCAAACACAAAGTTTACGCAGCAGCACAACTTGTTCCACCACTCACCCCCAGCCCCAACAACCAGCCCAACCTGATCCACTGACAGTGTTACCAGATTGGGCGGGTGGCTGCCTAATTGAGCTTCTTTTGACATCGTCAGGTGGGGAGGGAAAGCCTTAGGCGGGCAGATAATATCTGGGCAACTTTTAACAAGTTTGGGTGGATTTGTTTTCATACCAATCATACATTTCATTCAGTAAATAAATCAATGTTTAGCCTTAAATTGTTCCAGTTTAAGGCTAAATTATTCCAATTTAAGGCTCGTGCTACAACCTGGTACAATGCATCTCTCCTGTTAAGGTTCATGTAAATTTTGCATTTTCAGTAGAAATGTGTCAAACTGGAGAAGACCCGACCCCCATAAAGAAACTGAAACATGTGAGGTCATAAATGAACTAAAGATGAATATTAGAAATAATTGTAGTAGTAGTAGTAGTAGTAGTAGTAGTAGTAGTAGTAGTAGTAGTAGTAGTAGTAGTAGTAGTAGTAGTAGTACACTGAAAAAAAAAAGTTGCTGGATTTGCGTAAAAAAGTTATGGACAGCGGTTGCACGCAATAAAATTATGTTTAGGCTTTGAAACTTTTTTCGAACCCTCTACACATATTTTTCTCGGAACATGAACATCACTTTTTCATGTTGATGAAATTTGAACAAATCCTGCTGAATATGCATATTTATCTTATGGTACCTTATCATGAAATGTATAAGTTTGTATAATTTAATTTAATTGATCTAATTCTGTAAAAGAATACAAAAACAGTCTTTAGTTTTCCACAGTTCTGTTTTGTCTTAAACAGAATCAAACATAAAGAGCACAGGGACAGAGACACACAGTTTGGAGCTGGACAGTGTGAAGATTTATTCCAGTGAAGAAGCTCTGGTCTCTGCCTGTGGACACAGAATAACACATGATGATCACATTCTGATCATCTACTCTGTTGTACATGTTTAAATACACTTATAGCAATTATTACTACAATAATGGACCAGAACAGAATCACAAGAACATTAGAAGTGTATCTGCAGAAACAAAACTCACCATGTGCTGCTTTTCTTCCTCTAAACACAGTAACAGGGAGGGCATCTGGTATAAAGTCTCCTAATGCCACATCACCTTGTACAAGTACGATAACAGTTTCAATAGGAAGTTCATTTTGAAAAAATTAAAAATAATTGTAGTTGGTTTACTTACTTTGTTCATCTGTGGTTTGTGTTTTGTTGGTTCTCAAACATCTTCCTTTTTTCTGAAACATCAACTATAACATTCATGAACTTCCCCACAGCTCCAGCAGAACCTGGACGTCACTCTGTGTTTGTAGACGACTCTGGAACAAACACATTCAAATCTTAGTACAACTGTCACACTCTTGTAGATGGACAGTCAAAAACAATTTGTTTCAAGCTGTCCTCACATTAACTCTAATTTCAAATAAAACAACACAAACATGTTTTAACAATGACGACATTCTAGGCCGGAGAAGCACATAATAAAATCTTTGAAAAGTCTCACCTCCAGATCAGCTTCATAATCCTCCTGCTCCACACTGTGTGTCTCTGCTCCTGAACTGTCCTGTGTCCTGTTACATTTGAATTTTCCCTCCAAAAGTTTTGGGGAGGAGAATTCCAGAGGAAGGAGCCTCACCAGAAATTATAATAAAGTCATGTTTCCTCAACCTGATTAAAACATGCAGGTCTCACATCGGCCACAATCAAGCGATGTTTGTAAGATTTAAACATGCTTGACAGAGAAACGTAAAAAAGTGATGTTATTGTTGTCAAATTTGTTTTTGCAATTTGAGCAACCCGTCTCGGACCGTTGTTTCAGTGTAGTAATAGTGAGGCAAGGCGAGTTTATTTGTATAGCACACGTCGTACAGAAAGTAATTCAAAGTGCTTTACAGAATAAAAAATACATTAAAATCACAATAAAAACAAATCAAAACATAAATAATCATCATAAAATAAAAAAGAGGCAGTAGTAGTAGTAGTAGTAATAGTAGTAGTAGTAGTAGTAGTAGTAGTAGTAGTAGAAGTAACCAAAGGTGCTTTTTTATTTTAAGTTGAGTGAAATTTCTTGCATCAATTTTAACTTGTCACAAGTGAAAAATAAAATGAAAAACAGAAGGCAAATAAAAAAAAATAAAAAATTAACAAGGGAAATTATTTGGAGTGTCTGTGTGAAGAAGAGGAGGAGACAAAGGAAGAGAGGATGGGGAGGAAAGATTTGTTGACATTGTTGCATTGTAAAAACTTTCGGTGCATAGAATGGACTTATCTGCGATCGCTCTCCTTGGTCCTGACCAAAGAAGAGCTCTTATAGTATTATAAGGAATGCCAGAAACAGACATTTTGATCACTATTGGCTGAACTATATCTAAGCACAACACACAGCCAAACACAAAGTTTACGCAGCAGCACAACTTGTTCCACCACTCACCCCCAGCCCCAACAACCAGCCCAACCTGATCCACTGACAGTGTTACCAGATTGGGCGGGTGGCTGCCTAATTGAGCTTCTTTTGACATCGTCAGGTGGGGAGGGAAAGCCTTAGGCGGGCAGATAATATCTGGGCTACTTTTAACAAGTTTGGGTGGATTTGTTTTCATACCAATCATACATTTCATTCAGTAAATAAATCAATGTTTAGCCTTAAATTGTTCCAGTTTAAGGCTAAATTATTCTAATTTAAGGCTCGTGCTACAACCTGGTACAATGCATCTCTCCTGTTAAGGTTCATGTAAATTGTGCATTTTCAGTAGAAATGTGTCAAACTGGAGAAGACCCGACCCCCATAAAGAAACTGAAACATGTGAGGTCATAAATGAACTAAAGATGAATATTGAAATAATTGGAGTAGTAGTAGTAGTAGTAGTAGTAGTAGTAGTAGTAGTAGTAATAGTAATAGTGAGGCAAGGCGAGTTTATTTGTATAGCACAATTCGTACAGAAAGTAATTCAAAGTGCTTTAAAGAATAAAAAAATACATTAAAATCAAAATAAAAACACATCAAAACATAAATAATCATCATAAAATTAAAAAGAGGCAGCAGTCGTAGTAGTAGTAATAGCAGTAGTAGTAGTAGTAGTAGTAGTAGTAATAGTAGTAGTAGTAGTAGTAACCAAAGGTGCTTTTTTATTTTAAGTTGAGTGAAATTTCTTGCATCAATTTTAACTTTTCACAAGTGAAAAATAAAATGAAAAACAGAAGGCAAATAAAAAAATAAAAAATTAACAAGGGAAATTATTTGGAGTGTCTGTGTGAAGAAGAGGAGGAGACAAAGGAAGAGAGGATGGGGAGGAAAGATTTAAGTCATAAACTTACTGAAATAAACGGACACTTTTGTTGTATTTATCATGATTTCCACGATCGTGAGGGAGGGGGGCTGGGGTAGAGATGCATAAGAGTGCACTCTGGTCCTGGGCTCAATAAAACATCTCATAAATATAATTGGATCACATAGTATTTTTTTAATAGGAAATAATTTAAGAAAATATATCACTTACAATCATGGAGGGATTCCAATTTTTTTATAGCATTTTTAGAGAAATAATATTGTAAAACAGCAGAATTTTTTTTGTTTTGTTTGTTTGTTTTTGGAGACAAATAGTTTTGTATTACTGTGGTATTAAACCCTGAAAACTAACTCCAGCTGACTAACCACATTAAAGCTGCCATTTGTAAGTTTATTTATTATTATTTTTATTTTTTTATCAGTAGATGTCAGTTTTGAAACCTGTTCCCCCTCCCCTCACCTGGCCTTTGTTCAGGTTGTGCTTTCTGGTCTTCATGTTTTCTGTCAAGCTCTCACACTATGAGACTGGGTTAAAGTAAATAACATCTAATGGTGTTATGTGAGAATACAGCAGGTCAGCCAATATAATTACAAAGGATAACTTTAAAGAGTTAAATGATTAAAATATGAAACTGTTCAAACTAGCACAACAAGAGAGAGGTTTGTCATCTTTATTGAACAAATAAACACAACAGAAAGTTGGATTCTTTGTGATGATCACTGTCCTCTCATATTTCAATGGTTGCCATGTACAGGGTCCATACACTCGAAGCCACAGCCGTTGAAGCAGCATTTCAGTTTCCCCTCACAGTCTCGGTCAGTGTCGCATTTCTGGATACACTTGTCAAAGCGGTATGGTTTAGGACACGATCCTGGTTTGGGTTTCGGCACGTCTGTGGACACTTATGAAATTAAGAAGAAGACGTTCATTAAGAAAGCACTAAAATATATCTAAAAAATATTCTTAGTAACAAGAAAAAAATGATTTATACAGAGAGGTGAGGCAAGGATATCGTAGGATTTGATCACTCTAATTTACTGACAAAACACAAGCAATAATTTAAAAACAACATCCACATATATTCCAGGGGGACATGTTACCTCCACGTGGGTCGTAACACAGGTGCCCACAGCCCGTGTAGCAACACTTCATGTTCCTCTCACAGTCCCTGTCTCTGGAGCACTGCTCCTGGCAAGGAAAGAGAGGACCATTCAAAACGCTCTCTGGACAATGTTCATCTGAAATCACAAGAAACACAATTTTAATGAGAGAGAAAAAAAAAAAAAAATATATATATATATATATATATATATATATATATATATATATATATATATATATATATATATATATATATATATATATCAAATGTTCCAGTTCAATGCATTTGTGATGTAGTAAATGTTACCAAAACAAATAAGTTGATACAATCAGTTGACATTGTGGGAAAATTACACCATATGAAGCTATGCGAGGTCATAGAACTGTGACTATACAACATAGACATACTACATTTTCCGTTTAAAAATTATATTCAAAGTGACTGACCTTTCAGAGCAGAGAGCAAAGGCACAAAGGCCACAGTCAGGAGGCAGAGGACAGAGAACTTCATGATGTTCACCACAGACACAGACACATTCAACTGAGGTACGAGCTTCTATTTATCCACCTAAAATACAGCCTCAGCACTGAGCTCATATTACGTCATAGTGCCCGCCCTGCATTAAACATGAGCATACCAGGACTTCTTTGGGTGTGGATCAGGCACGACATCATTAGGATTCCAGTTGTGGATGTTCCAGATCAGTTGTGGGTGAGCCTTAAATGAAAAACATCATCAAATCTCTGTTTATCCTAATAAAATGACAGACTAATATACTGTTATATTATTTGTGCATTATAGAGATTTGAATAGTTTCATGCTCATTTAAATATTTTTGTTGCATTGTAAAAACTTTCGGTGCATAGAATGGACTTATCTGCGATCGCTCTCCTTGGTCCTGACCAAAGAAGAGCTCTTATAGTATTATAAGGAATGCCAGAAACAGACATTTTGATCACTATTGGCTGAACTATATCTAAGCACAACACACAGCCAAACACAAAGTTTACGCAGCAGCACAACTTGTTCCACCACTCACCCCCAGCCCCAACAACCAGCCCAACCTGATCCACTGACAGTGTTACCAGATTGGGCGGGTGGCTGCCTAATTGAGCTTCTTTTGACATCGTCAGGTGGGGAGGGAAAGCCTTAGGCGGGCAGATAATATCTGGGCTAACTTTTAACAAGTTTGGGTGGATTTGTTTTCATACCAATCATACATTTCATTCAGTAAATAAATCAATGTTTAGCCTTAAATTGTTCCAGTTTAAGGCTAAATTATTCCAATTTAAGGCTCGTGCTACAACCTGGTACAATGCATCTCTCCTGTTAAGGTTCATGTAAATTGTGCATTTTCAGTAGAAATGTGTCAAACTGGAGAAGACCCGACCCCCATAAAGAAACTGAAACATGTGAGGTCATAAATGAACTAAAGATGAATATTGGAAATAACTGTAGTAGTAGTTTTAGTAGTAATAGTAATAGTGAGGCAAGGCGAGTTTATTTGTATAGCACACGTCGTACAGAAAGTAATTCAAAGTGCTTTAAAGAATAAAAAATACATTAAAATCAAAATAAAAACACATCAAAAACATAAATAATCATCATAAAATTAAAAAGAGGCAGCAGTCGTAGTAGTAGTAGTAGTAGTAGTAGTAGTAGTAGTAGTAGTAGTAGTAGTAGTAACCAAAAGTGCTTTTTTAATTTTAAGCTGAGTGAAATTTCTTGCATCAATTTTAACTTTTCACAAGTGAAAAATAAAATGAAAAACAGAAGGCAAACAAAAAAATAAAAAATTAACAAGGGAAATTATTTGGAGTGTCTGTGTGAAGAAGAGGAGGAGACAAAGGAAGAGAGGATGGGGAGGAAAGATTTAAGTCATAAACTTACTGAAATAAACGGACACTTTTGTTGTATTTATCATGATTTCCACGATCGTGAGGGAGGGGGGCTGGGGTAGAGATGCATAAGAGTGCACTCTGGTCCTGGGCTCAATAAAACATCTCATAAATATAATTGGATCACATAGTATTTTTTTAATAGGAAATAATTTAAGAAAATATATCACTTACAATCATGGACGGATTCCAATTTTTTTATTGCATTTTTAGAGAAATAATATTGTAAAACAGCAGAATTTTTTTGTTTTGTTTGTTTGTTTTGTTTGTTTTTGGAGACAAATAGTTTTGTATTACTGTGGTATTAAACCCTGAAAACTAACTCCAGCTGACTAACCACATTAAAGCTGCCATTTGTAAGTTTATTTATTATTATTTTTATTTTTTTATCAGTAGATGTCAGTTTTGAAACCTGTTCCCCCTCCCCTCACCTGGCCTTTGTTCAGGTTGTGCTTTCTGGTCTTCATGTTTTCTGTCAAGCTCTCACACTATGAGACTGGGTTAAAGTAAATAACATCTAATGGTGTTATGTGAGAATACAGCAGGTCAGCCAATATAATTACAAAGGATAACTTTAAAGAGTTAAATGATTAAAATATGAAACTGTTCAAACTAGCACAACAAGAGAGAGGTTTGTCATCTTTATTGAACAAATAAACACAACAGAAAGTTGGATTCTTTGTGATGATCACTGTCCTCTCATATTTCAATGGTTGCCATGTACAGGGTCCATACACTCGAAGCCACAGCCGTTGAAGCAGCATTTCAGTTTCCCCTCACAGTCTCGGTCAGTGTCGCATTTCTGGATACACTTGTCAAAGCGGTATGGTTTAGGACACGATCCTGGTTTGGGTTTCGGCACGTCTGTGGACACTTATGAAATTAAGAAGAAGACGTTCATTAAGAAAGCACTAAAATATATCTAAAAAATATTCTTAGTAACAAGAAAAAAATGATTTATACAGAGAGGTGAGGCAAGGATATCGTAGGATTTGATCACTCTAATTTACTGACAAAACACAAGCAATAATTTAAAAACAACATCCACATATATTCCAGGGGGACATGTTACCTCCACGTGGGTCGTAACACAGGTGCCCAAGAACCCGTGTAGCAACACTTCATGTTCCTCTCACAGTCCCTGTCTCTGGAGCACTGCTCCTGGCAAGGAAAGAGAGGACCATTCAAAACGCTCTCTGGACAATGTTCATCTGAAATCACAAGAAACACAATTTTAATGAGAGAGAGAAAAAAAAAAAAAATATATATATATATATATATATATATATATATATATATATATATATATATATATATATATATATATATATATATATATATATTCAAATGTTCCAGTTCAATGCATTTGTGATGCAGTAAATGTTACCAAAACAAATAAGTTGATACAATCAGTTGACATTGTGGGAAAATTACACCATATGAAGCTATGCGAGGTCATAGAACTGTGACTATACAACATAGACATACTACATTTTCCGTTTAAAAATTATATTCAAAGTGACTGACCTTTCAGAGCAGAGAGCAAAGGCACAAAGGCCACAGTCAGGAGGCAGAGGACAGAGAACTTCATGATGTTCACCACAGACACAGACACATTCAACTGAGGTACGAGCTTCTATTTATCCACCTAAAATACAGCCTCAGCACTGAGCTCATATTACGTCATAGTGCCCGCCCTGCATTAAACATGAGCATACCAGGACTTCTTTGGGTGTGGATCAGGCACGACATCATTAGGATTCCAGTTGTGGATGTTCCAGATCAGTTGTGGGTGAGCCTTAAATGAAAAACATCATCAAATCTCTGTTTATCCTAATAAAATGACAGACTAATATACTGTTATATTATTTGTGCATTATAGAGATTTGAATAGTTTCATGCTCATTTAAATATTTTTGTTGCATTGTAAAAACTTTCGGTGCATAGAATGGACTTATCTGCGATCGCTCTCCTTGGTCCTGACCAAAGAAGAGCTCTTATAGTATTATAA